TCTATTCGGGATGTAACGAGAGCGTGGGCCATTGTGGCCAGATCAGACTTCCCAAGGTACGGGCGCAACTGGTGCACAAGTTTTAATTGTGCAATTGTGCAAAAGCTCTCCCGGCCACCGCTGAGACCTAGGGTTCCAGGCTCAGCAATGAGTTCAGGCTCACTCCCAAGCTGCGAACCTGGGAAGTGTGGGCCTGCTTTTGGCTGATGAGATAGGATTGTTGTTGTTGTTGTTGTTGTTTTTTCTTGTTGTGTGCTTTCAAGTCATTACAGACTTAGGTTGTCCCTGAGCGAGGGCCGGGTAAATGACCTTGGAGGGCCGCATCCGGCCCCTTGGCCTTAGTTTGAGGACCCCTGCTCTAGAACATGGTCATATAGCCCTACAAAAAACCTACAACAACCCAGTGATTCCGGCCATGAAAGCCTTCGACAATACAGCCTACCATCTGTTAGGAATTGTGTGGGTTGAGGTCCAAAACACCCGGAGGGCCAAAGTTTGCCCATGCCTGCTTTAGAGTATTTAGGCCCCAAGTAACAGAGTCTGAACTGAAATTGTTAATGAGGAGGACAAATAGCAGCAGAGATGTCCCTCAGCAGCAAGAGCTGCATGCTAAGCATTTCACAAATCGATTTGCAGGCTGGAAATTGGGCTATTGTCTCTCTGAGGGATAATGGCTCTGAAACAAAATGCAATTGCATACCTTGTAAATCATGTGGGAAGAAAAAGACCTACGTTTGCCAGTCCGATCTCTCTTATTGTCCTGTTTCCCTTTCCCCTAGATTTGCTTAGAACGGAGTTCTTGAAAGTTGGCTGAGCTATGAAATCATCCATCCCCCAGGCAAAGCCTGTACAATCAAGCTCAATTAACATCATCCTGATTACCATCTCTTTATTGAGAGAGCGACTGATTAACGCAATCAGCCTCTTTTTAGAGAATCACAGCTATTTTTTGCTGGTGACCTTCTCCTTTGATGATCAAAATGGTGCTTATCCATACAACCCTTCCTTATTCAACATTCTCTCTTTTCTCTGAAGCAGATGCTAAATAGGAAACTATAGACTTCCAGATGTTTTGAATTGCGACTCCACCTCCTATCACTTCTGACTGTTGACTGTTAGAAGCCATAGTTGAAAACATCTGGATAAAGCAACGTTGGTCAAGATACCATACCGTGTGTGTGTGTGTGTGTATGTGTAGGGACACAGTATTGTAGTCCTGTGTATCGTGTGAAAAACACTCCCTCCCCCATCACAAACAAAAGCTGGTGCTGTTCAAGTGTAGGTACTGTTATAACTTTTACAATTTGTACAATTTGTTCATTGAGTTGCAGTAATTGCCACGAACAATGGTAAGTTTCTAAGAAAAGAAAACTGTTGACAATGATGTTTTTGATGTACCACATGTGAAGTCAAACATGACCCCCCCATAAGAGATAATAACTTATAGTTTTGCTAAGGGCAAGGACACCAGGCTGGATAATAAGGGTTAAGCCTTGGTCAGTTTGGTGTGTATCATTTAATCAAGGATTTATGCCCTATTACAGCCTGTGCTGGATGGGGTCGCACTCCCCTTGAAGGCGCAGGTTCGCAGCTTGGGTGTGATCCTGGATTCATCGCTGAGCCTGGAGCCCCAGGTCTCGGTGGTGACCAGGGGAGCATTTGCACAGCTTAGGCTCGTGCGCCAGCTGCGCCCGTACCTTGGGAAGTCTGACTTGGCCACGGTAGTCCACGCTCTGGTTACATCCCGTTTAGACTACTGAAACGCTCTCTACGTGGGGTTGCCTTTGAAGACGGCCTGGAAGCTCCAACTGGTCCAACGTGCGGCAGCCATAATACTAACAGGAGCGGGACGCAGGGAGCACACAACCCCCTTGTTGTACCAGCTCCACTGGCTGCCGATTTGCTACCGGGCTCAATTCAAGGTGCTGGCATTGGCCTATAAAGCCCTAAACGGTTCCGGCCCAAGATACCTATCTGACCGCATCTCGACCTATGAGCCCACCAGGACTTTGAGATCGTCCGGGGAGGCCCTGCTCTCGATCCCGCCTGCTTCACAGGCACGGCTGGCGGGGACGAGAGATAGGGCCTTCTCGGTGGTGGCTCCTCGGCTGTGGAACACCCTTCCCGTGGACATCAGACTGGCCCCTTCCCTGATGATATTCCGCAGGAAATTAAAGACTTGGCTGTTCAAGAAGGCGTTCGAACAAGTAGTGCAATGATTGGTAATTGACTATAGGAATGGAACAACGGAAATGATATTGGATTGTGGTTTTGACGATGAGACGACGCGGAATGGCTTTCGTAGTAATGATGATGTTTTTTGATGATGATGTTTTTTGTTAATGATGGATTGTGGATTATTTTTATATTGTGTCTTGTATTTTGAACCTTGTTCTTTCTATGTTGTACACCGCTGTGAGTCGCCCCTGGGCTGAGAACAGCGGTATATAAGCAAAGTAAATAAATAAATAATAATAAATATTTTCATATGTTTACAGCAGAAAGTAACCAATTTATTCCTGAAAATCATGCCACAAAACTATTTTACTTTTTCCATCTGAGGCACACCTGGGCTCCTGATGGTCCCCCATCTCACAAACAAGGGACTCTCTTTCCCCTTCATGGATATTTCCCTTTATGGATACTGGGGGAAGGTAGTTGGGTTTACTATGATTTCTATATTTTCATATGTTCTCCTGTATTTCTATATTTCCTTCATGTATTTGACCTTGCCCTGACCCTTTTGCCCCCTTCCCCTCTCCTTGGGGGAAATCTACAAGGAAGCTGCCCTGCCTCTGGAAAAGCAATCAGCGATCATAGAAAGACTCTTAACTTTGGACATTCTTTGCATGGACAATAGTAAAGGAAATCCTTTTCACTTTGGAGTTGGGCCACCATTAGGATATCCGTGTGGCAGACTTTTTAATCATATAACAATGGGGGGAATATGACCTTAGGAAAGTCCTCTTTTCCTCCAAGCTGTTTTTCTTTCAAATCTTTCCACTAAGGACATTCACAAAAGTTTCCCCTTTGTGCCCTATCGGATTGCAAGAGAAAAAGCCGGATTAAGCCATCAATGCTTATCACAGACCCATCTCAGGACAATAAAGTGGCTTCTCTGGCAGGCCGATCCTCGGACTCAATAAGCCTGAGGACATTAAAACTCCATAATCCACTCCAGAATGCATTGTCTCCCTTCATCCCGCCTCCCTCCCTTCTGATTCGCTGGAGCGTCGAGGCAGCAGGAGCCTCCTGATAGGCTCTGGCGCCCCACGAAAGCCCTGTGATTGGCCCTGATGCATGGGGGATGGCCAAGCCTCCTCCCAGCTGTTTGCGCATCAGCCAATCCCTTCGAGCTGGGTGGGAGGGGGGAGCGGAAATTTAGAAACTCACAACTCTGTATTTCCTATAAAAAAGGCCTTTGCGTCTGTAACCACATGCTCTGCTTGGCGAATGATTCCTTTTCTGCATCCTTTTCAGCTGAATCGTTAATAAACCTCGGTAGCACTTCCTTCAACTTGGTGAGATCTTTTATTGAGAAAAATCAGGGATTGGGTGCTTCTCTCTGTCTCGCCAGGGTAACGAACTCTTTAAAGCAGGGGTCCTCAAACTTTTTAAACAGAGGGCCAGGTCAGAATCCCTCAAACTGTTGGAGGGCCGGATTATAATTGGAAAAAAATGAATTAATTCCTATGCACACTGCACATATTTTATTTGTAGTGCTAAAAAAACACTTAAAAACAATACAACAATTAAAATGAAGAACAATTTTAACAAATATAAACTTATTAGTATTTCATTGGGAAGTGTGGCCAGCTTTTGGCTGATGAGATGGGATTGTTGTTGTTGTTGTGTGCTTTCAAAACAGTTCAGACTTAGGTTGACCCTGAGTGAGGGCCGGGTAAATGACCTTGGAGGGCCGTATTCGGCCCTCAGGCCTTAGTTTGAGGACCCCTGCTTTAAGGAGTATGATTGGTCTCTGCCTCCTGGCAAAGACCCCTAAATTCCTGCTCTATAACACATGGACACCTATAGAGGAAACTACACAAGAATAAACTAGCACAAAAAGAAGTGTAAAGGAAAAGTGTCCAAACAGTAAATATTATAGGGAACGTATAATATATATAGAGAGTATGAAACTCTTATGAGTGGTTGGTTTAATCTCTTGTATGTCAATAAAACCGAATTACTGTGTCCAGGCCCATAGCCAGGATTTCGATTCGGGGGGTGGGGGGGCTGAGTTTTGGGAGGGGGCTGAGTCTGAGTGAAAGAGGGTCTACCCTAGCAAACCTTTTGTATCGTTACCCCAATACCCCCATGCATATGGGATATATTGAGTATGGTGATCAGATCATGATATGAATAAACATAACAGTTTAAATAATGCACCAGTAAGGCCTTTTCGCGAACCACCATGAGCATTTCGGGGTGGGGGGGTGGGTGGGTGAAGCTCCTCAAGCCCCCCCCCCCCCCAGCTACATGCCTGACTGTGTCGCAAAAGGCTGCATGTCTAAAAAGCGTGTCACCAACATTAAATTTTTGGAAAGATTTGCTCTAGACAATTCCACCAGAAATCAATGATAAAATCGCACAGAAGGACTTCCAAATGCCTGGAGAAGTGTCTCTCTAGGAATCGCTAGGTCCTCTAATGCAAAGATATAGTCAACTTCCACTGGACCTAGAGATTCCTAGAAAGAACATGTGATTCAAAATCTGTGAATCAAATCTGCAAAAGTAAAACCCACAAATGTGAACGGCAGATTGTATTTTGATTCCCAAACAGAAATGGCAGTCTATGAGAGATGGAAACCTATTCTTTGGGTGGCCTCTTTTGCAACTAATCATCATTCTTTAACACACAAAAAGGAATCAGACGTAGATCTGAAGGGGGATTCTAAGAAGACAGCAGCTTCGTGGGGAATGTTGTCCCAAGATTTCCCAATTGCTAGATGTTGAACCTGATATGCCCGGTTACAATGACTTTCATCTCTTCACCTCAGGAGAGCATTTCCTTCTGGGTTGGCATGCTGCGCCGTGGTTTTGCTGGTCTTGGTTTCTCGGTGGTGGCTTATTTCACCTGGACCTACAAGGACCCAGCCAAGCAGAGCCAGGTAGTGCTCCAAAGCCTACAGGAGACCCAAGCAGAGATCCAGAGACTTTTGCAAGAAACAGGTATGAGGGTGAAGGATCAAGTATGTATATGTGTTGTGATTGTGGAGAGAAATGGCCACTGCTTTCTCCAGTGAGGTCTCTCCCTTGTATTGTCTCAGGAAAGGCATTTATTTTTATTTATTTTGTATCAAAAGCACTGCATTAGTATAAAACTGATAAAAATAGAAGGCACACTAAATATCTTTTGACCAAAAACAGGCAACAGCAACAGCAACAGCATTGTCTGTAGCCTCCAACAATTCTTTCTCTGTACATGAGGCAGGGCATAGTGGACAAGCATACAGATGCGGAGTTGTCTGTTCTGCTCCACAGTCCCATGGTGTGGGATTCTTTTAGGTAGTGCCATTTTGCGAGGTTGTCTTTTGATCTGCCCACTCCGCTTCTGAGTCTGTTCAGTGACTTCCAAGTTGCCCATTCTTGGTTTGCCCTTGAAGGAAGACCCTCGTGGGGGGCTATCCAGTTGGGGTTTCCTGGTTTAGCTGCCCAGAGGGCAGGCATGTAGCCGTGGGGGGGGGGGGCTTGAGGGGCTTCAGCCCCCCCCCCCCCAAAATTCTCATGGTGGTTCGCGAAAAAGGCCTTACTGGTGCATTATTTAAACTGTTATGTTTATTCATATCATGATCTGATCACCATACTCAATATATCCCATATGCATGGGGGTATTGGGGTAACGATACAAAAGGTTTGCTAGGGTAGACCCTCTTTCACTCAAACTCAGTCCCGTCCCCCCGAAACTCGGCCCCCCTCGAACCCCCCCTGAAAAAAAACTCAGCCCCCCCCCAAATCGAAATCCTGGCTACGGGCCTGCCAGAGGGATACCCTTGCTGTTACTGGGGGGACCCCAAGAGGAGTGGCAGTTCTCATAAAGCTTTTCCTTGATTTGAGTCTACTGGGAGGAGTCTGGTAGCCATGTAGTGGGTGGTTTTCACAGTATTCAACCTTATTTCTCTCACTTTTAGCAGCAACTTCCCGTCGCACATTGGGGGGGGGGGGCAATAACAGCTAGCTTGTAGAGTTTATCAACAGGTTTAAGACAACTTGTGATTATTCTGCATGTTTCATTCAATGCTACGTTCACTTGTTTTGCATGGGCAGACTTAACGATCCGTAGGGAAAAGTAGGGAACTTTATTCGATATAATAAAAATCCCAACACTGCTTCACCAAAAATTATAACGTCCACACAGCAGCCTACCAAATTAAAACAATGACACCACCACTACAGACTAGCTCGCCAAAATATAGAGGGAGAATAGTTGTTGAACCAACATAATATTTAGAAGTTAGGAACTGGGAATCACAGGAACTGAGAGACTTAAAATGATTCTTTAAAAGATTTCCGCTGCCACCATATTACTATTAAACAGGCTGAGGTATTATTGAGAGGTTGTTCAGTAACACACTCTGTGTTACTCTAGTTTTCTTAGAGGCTGGTAAAAAGCCGACTTGAATAACACCTTTACCACAAAGATATTCAAAGAGGCTGGTATAAGTTGGTAGAAATAACAAGAACCTTTATTGAACTGGCTTGAATAATTCAGGTACAAATGCTTATTGGTTTCAGTAAAGTTCTTGCATACAAAGCTTGTGGTTACGTTTGAGATCTTAAAACTTCTGGGTTACAAGTCTTAAAGGTTCAACACAGAAAATTACTTCAGGAAATGAATCTCTGAAAGTAACTCCCACAAAAATCCCCCTTAGGAATCTAGCCAAAACCTAAACTAGCCTTCCTTAGGAAAAGAACAGACCACTAACGGGGTTCTGACCCTCACATTATTCTAGCTATATTTCTCTATAGCTACCCTGAATACTAAACAAAAGACTGCTCCGAAGTTCTTCTTCAAAACCCCAAACTGCTCTTATTAACAGACCCAGCTTCTGCCAACCTAGCAGTTCGAAAACATGCAAATGTGAGTAGATCAATAGGTATCGCTCTGGCGGGAAGGTAAGGGCGCTCCATGCAGTCATGCTGGCCACATGACCTTGGAGGTGTCTACGAACAATGCTGGCTCTTCGGCTTAGAAATGGAGATGAGCACCACACCCCAGAGTCAGACACGACTGGACTTCATGTCAGGGGAAAACCTTTACCTACCTAAGCCGCCTTGAGTCCCCCTGCCAGGTGAGAAGGGTGGGGTATACGTATAGTAAATAAAAAAATAAATAAGAGCTGTTCAGCCATGGAATGTGCTGCTGCATTGAAGTGTGGAGAAGTTTCCATCTCTGGATGTTTCTAAGCAGAGGCTGGATGGCTATCTGTGAGGGTTACTTTGATTGTGCTTCCCTGTATAGCAAAGAGTTGGACTGGCTGGCTCTTGGGGTCTCTTCCAGCACTATGATCTATATAAATAAAAATGTAATGTTCGTTTGTGGTGTTCACAGAACTCAAAAACCACTGGACAAATTGACACCAAATTTGGAAACAAGACACCTGACTGTCCAATGTATGTCCTTCACTCAAAAAAACCCACAATTTTGTCATTTGGGAGTTGTAGTTTCTGGAATTTGTCATTTATGTACAATCAAAGAGCATTCTGAACCCCACCAACGATGGAATTGAACCAAACTTGGCAAAGAGTTCACCCATGACCAACAGAAAATACTGGAAGGGTTTGGTGGGCAGTGTCCTTTGGTTTTGGAGTTGTAGTTCACCTACATCCAGAGATCACTGTGGACTCAAACAATGATTGATCTGGACCAAACTCTACACGAATACTCAATATGCCCAAATGTGAACATTGGTGGAGTTTGGAGAAAATAGAATCTTGACATTTGGGAGCTGTAGTTCCTGGGATTTGTACTTCACATACAATCACAGAGCATTCTGAACCCCACCAATGGTAGAATTGGGACAAAACTCCCACACAGAACAGCCATGTGGGCCACAGCAACGCGTGGCAGGGGACGGCTAGTTCTATGATAAAAAGAGATTTCAGGCTGGGTTGTTGTAAGTTTTTCAGTCTATATGGCCATGTTCTAGAAGCAGTCTCTCCTGACATTTTGCCTGCAGCCTCTGAGTATGCTTGCCATAGATGCAGGCGAAACGTCAGGAGACAATGCTTCTAGAACATAGCCATATAGCCCGAAAAACCTACAACAACGCAGTGATTCCAGGCATGAAAGCCTTCGACAATACAGATTTCAGGCTATTTCTTCTCCTCCTTCTTTTCAAAGAGTGAATTGCAAGCGAAGAAGTAAGCTGTAGCCCAGGGATGTTTAGGCTGAAATAAATGGGTCAACATGAAAGATGGCCCAAGTTTTCCCTTCCCTCTTTTATACAGAATACGGATATCTCTTTGAAAATAGTATGCTTTGAAAGGAAACCTAAATACATATTTTAAAACCGCTCACCTGAAGGTGTCTGGGAAACCAAAAGACTGTTGTTGCTTAGCAACTGCATCACATAATGTCTTCCTCCCTCCGCCTTGCTTCCCCTTCATTTTCCCCTAGAAAGAATGCTGAGTCAGGGCTAAGTCGACATTTCTGGGTCACCGCTTGGTGCCCAATGCGAGTCCAGGAAAAGGGCTGCAGAGAAACTCGTGTCGTTCCACAGTCTTGGGGCGGCCGATGAAAAGGTCCCCCAATTAGAATGTGAGAAGATGCGCAAACCAATTGTGCAGATGTGGATGATTGTGGAGGGAATTAATCTCAGGCCTCAATTGTTGATAAGAATTTATTATAGAGGAGGCCAATTATTAGTTGTAAATTAAGGTAGCTGCCACCAACATGAGGTATTTGAGGTATCACCAATAAGATCTGGCTCTACAGACGCAGGTTAGATGAGAAGAGAAGGTTTTTAACAAAAGATAACAAGTTTATTGTGTACAATAAACTGGCTGCCATTTATTTTCCGAGCCCAATTCAAGGTGCAGGTGCTTACCTACAAAGCCCTGAACGGTTTG